AAAATTATTTATATATATATAAATTAAAATTAAAAAATTTTATATGTAAAAATTTGTATTATTTTATTTTTTTAAAAGATATTTTCATATTTATTAGAAATAGAAGAAAAAAAAAGAAGAAAAAAAAGGGTCCAGGAGTAAGGGCATGGGCGGGACGACGAAATCTAAATCTCGTCAGGGACAATGATAGATACCTAGATTTTATCCCCAACAAATATCAGAGGCGAGGATGAGGACAGTTTAAATTTGCAAGAGCGGATGTGGGGAACATAAAACCCGCCCCCACCCCCATTGTCATGCCTAATTCTAATCCTATAAGATAATTTTATAAGATTGAGAAATGAATTGATCTACTTTGTAAAGATTGTATTATAACATATTAAAATCATATATTATTTGATTATTATTCAATCACTCACAAATGTCCAATCATAAGGTGATATTAGTCGATTAACTTCATGTTCAAAATATTTAATTATTAATATGAGAGAGCTGTGTTGAAAATCTTATATTAACTAAAAACAACACTATAATGATAAATATAATTAAAAGACAATAAGTTTCAATCAACTTTTTTAAGATGCATGTCTAGTTATCTCCAAAGACCCAACTTAATAAGCTTATTATATATACAACTTTTGTATTAATAATACATTTTTCTTGTATATTTTTTCTAAATGTAATTAATTTTTTTAATTTATTTTTAATTTTTTGATTTTACAAGTCCCTTACACTTAATGTTCAATTTTTTTTCCAACAACTCACATTTCCATTTCACATGGACTCCCATTCTCCCTCGTTGTCTCTGACGTTTAATTATTATTATTTTTTTTGGTAAAGTATTCACCTTTTTTTATCCGCAATCCTTTTTTTTCTTTTCCATTTTCCATGATTTCAAAATAAATTAAAATTTAACAATTGTAATTATTCTTCTAAAACATATAATTTTAAGATTGTCAACCTTACTCACTAATTCTCTTTGTCCTCATTTATCGAGTCTTTCTTGACATTTACTTGTTCTCACATTTAGCTCACATTTTTTTTTCTTTCTGATTTGCCTCTCTCCCTTTCATTGATTCATACCTTGTATTCAACGTAGAGAACAATAAAAATAAAATGAAATTAGAATTTAAAAAATAATGAAGTTAGAAAGTAAAAAAAAATAGAATTTAAAAGTATAAAAATAGAGTATGACTGTTTTAATTTTTGAAGAAAAAAAATGAAAAAGAAAAAAAAATCAAGAAAAAAGTGATTAGAGAAAGATGAAGGAAGGAGAATGAAAAAAATATTTTTTAAAATAAAATTTATTTAAAACAGAAAACTAATTAAAAGGGTATTTGAAGATTAAAAAATGAAAAAGAAAGGAGTGTATTTATATATTAAAAAGGAAGTTTATATATGAGCCAACTGAAAATACTTCTCTAAACCACAATATTTCCTTTTTATTATTATTTCTCAGTTTATACTTTTTAATTATATTAAGAGTCATTCAAGTTTTTAAAAATATTTTTAACTAATTGATGTGTGTATCTATGTGTTATATATCATATAAAATACGGTGAAGTAAATGACATTAACTTATCAGTCATGCATAAATTATATTATTTTTTATTTCTCCAAATTTATATTTTTATTAATACAGTTGTGTCATTATTTAACTAAGTTTTTTTTATGATTTTAAAAAATTGAATTAAATTCATATTTCACCTATAAAATACTTAATTTTATTTAATGTGATAAAATAAATTTTATTTATTTTAATAACAACAAAATAATTATTCCCATTTATTTAAGTTCAAATTTTAATTTAGTTAGCTGTATCATTGAATAACAACATTAATGTTTTTTATTTTAACCTTTTAAATTATTTGTCACATATAAAATTATTTGTAATTAGAAAATCATTTTATTTCGTACATAGCACAAGTACTAAGTTATTTCTTTCTAAAATGTAGAATTAGAAGTATCAAAACGAGTCAAATTTGATGTGTATTGTCGTTATATAGGTTAAGTTTAGTTTATATTTTTTGTTTAATCAATTCTAACTCAAAAGTTGGGCGGTCCGTACAAGCTTGGCCCACAATAAGTTAGGAGAGTTAGTTGGTTTGATTCTTTAAGCCGTTTAGACTCATCTATTTGAACTAAACGTTTATATACCTGCATTTAAAAAACAATAAATGGAAAATTTAAGGATAAGAGACATTTGTTATATGTGTATCAATTAATCAGGGTGGTGATAACTAGTTTAGGAACAAAATCAGTAAATTTATTTTATTTTTTTTTCCAGAATGGTAGTATCCAGCGACAGCGAGCAATCATAACAATACATAACCAACCTTTGTATTCAGCAAACCGCACAAAGAATAAAATAAATGTTTAAAACCACGAGTGCATGAGAACACAACCAAGAAACACTAATGCCAGGGTGAATCAGGACCTTATAAATCGATTGTTAGAACCAGTGGCGAGTCACCCTTGTCAACAACGAATGTCTTGGAAACTTTCTGTGTTAAGGTCACAACTTCCACGTTATATGTTCCACTGAAGCCTCTGAAGCTGAATAGCCCTTCCTCGTCAACATAACCATGGCTATGAGACAACCACTCTTGTTTGAGAGCAAGGTATCTTTTCCCAGCTTCATTGAGTTCCCCTTCTGCATTCACCAAGTGTGCATTTTCCCTGCTCATAAACAACTCCCAAAATCCCCATAGCATGACACCATCTATGGCAGGGTGTGCCAAAGCTTCCCTCAACATAACTTCTAGATCATCAGCTCTCACATATTCATTTGTGGAAGACACATCAAGCTCAGTAAACCATATTGGTATTCCAAGAGTGCCCAATTTATCAAGGGCAGAACAAACTATAGGCCCCACAGGACTATCTATGTGACCTTGAATTCCTATTCCCCCAACTGGGGCACCTTGTCCTTGCAAATCAAGAATATGTTGAATGTACTTTTCTGGGGATGATCTCGTGTCACATCCATCTTCAACATGATAGTCATTCACAAAAAGGGTAGCAGATGGATCTAGCTGATGTGCAGTCTTGAACATGTTTGCCCTTATATCCTTTCCTAGCCTATCCTGATAAAACGAACCATGCAACATTTCATTGTTAACATCGTAGTGCTTGAACTTGCCCTTGTAGCGAGTCAATAAGCCATTTAAGCGGTTTTGCACAGCTTTCATCAAATCAGTTTTGTTTAGTGATTTGATCCATTGCTGAACGGTGCCGTCCACATCCCAGAAGATACAATGACCTCGGGTGTCTATCTTGTTCTTTTGGCATAAGTCTAACATTTCATCTGCATCCTTGTAATTCAAATTCCCTTGTTGTGGCTCAGTCCAATACCACTTCAACTCATTCCCAAACACAGCCCAGTTAAAATGTTTTACAAAGAAGTCGACAAAGTCTTCATTGTCAATGTTGCTTCTACTAATGCACGATCCAATTGGAAAATCGTTTTGTATTTGTCTAACTCTCACCAAGGTTCCAAGATTTCCAATTGAGTCTAACCCAGAGAATTTTAGGATAATATCACGCTTACGAATCTACATTGCAGCAAGTGACAAATATTTCAAATGAGAAGCAGGGAAAAATTGGAAAGAATGTAAATGATCACATATCCTATGAATGCAGGATGAAGATATTTGATAACTTACCACATGTCAATGAAAGTATACTGAAAAATTGAATGATATAAGAGATAAAGTTGAGGTTAAAACCAAATTTATTCATATATTTAGAGTAAAAATATTTAAAAGCCTAATATAAGATTTGAAATAGACCTAGCTGTTACCTTGTCTGTCTGTCTCCTTAAATATTTAAACCTTGCATATCTATCAACAGCAAAAATTTGGAGTCCAGCAATCATCAAGTCAACACCAGAAGCAGGACCTTGAATATAAACCATAACCTTAGATGGTTGCTTTTCAATTCTAAAGGACCCACCAATTTCATGCCACCTGTCATCAGCAACCTCAACTTGTCCCCCGTTGACCCACTGGTTGTCAACGCTAAGGGCAACATTCACATTCTGAGGCCCAGTTGATCCAGAACCAATTCGAACCCAAGCAGATACTTGGTAAGTTAGAAAGAGTTTCAATTTCTCAGTGATCATCTGAGCAGGTCCCATCCATGTTTGTGTGCGATTGGTTACAAGGATGTGGCGCCCACTTAAGGATTCATGAGGCCCAAGAGAGTCTCTTGCCATTGGGGGAATTATACGTGGTGAACCAGTTCCAACGCTCAAATTACAATTACCAAGAGGAAACCATCCATTGGTGCCATTGGCCATATTACTGTTTTCAACTATGTTAACACCAAAAGCAGCACCCTGCATAAACAAACCAATCTTTAGGTGCTTGTGACATAGTAGTATACATAATTGGCCATACAACAAAATTATATCAATATGTGGAGAAAATATAGTCACTTTTTTTTTTTTTTAATTTAAACAATGAATGAACGCAGAAATTCCAGGAATTGCTAATTTTATATATTAAAGTAATTTACAGACAATAATTCGAAAGCCTAACCTCACAATCCGGGGGTGTTGAAGGTGGTGTTTTAGCTGCATGCTTTATAACCAAAGTATTGACAAGAATGTCAGTGCCTGCAGGGGGACCTTCTAAATACACCACAACTTTTGATGGGGAACCATTTAGAAGGAACTTTCCCTGCATTTGAACCCAATCTTTATCTGTTGCCTGCACACTTTAAATACACAAGCTTTTAATCAGCAATTATAGGAGCATTCTGATATCAATTATTCATCATAAAATACTGCACCAAGTTTCTTTTCTTTTATATATAAATAATGGGTCTAGCTAAAAACATTGTTTAGAGAATTAATATGTAAAAGATTTCGTTGAAAACTATTATAAAGTCATACCAGAGAATGTGTTGATACACTTTTCTATAAAAAAATTTCTACTTTTGATTCCTTCACCAGTATCATAAGTGTACAGGTTAGCATTTCTCATGAATAATTAACTAGAATAATAAACACGAGTCATATACTTTAGAGTCTATGAGAAACGCAGTAATAAATAATTAAGATAGACACTAACTTGGCAATGCCTATATACTGCTCTCGAAGATCTGGTGCTTGAACCCACAAAGTAGCCCTTACATCAGAAGTGGTAACATTGTTCCCAAATATCCGAACTACAGCAGTAACCTCATAGGCAAGCTTGCGCTGCACTCTTCCAGTGATCTCCTGCTTAATTCCATTCCAACTTTGTGTGCGTTCTGTTGTAGATGCAAAGAATTTACCAGACTTTGGAAGAATTTTCCCATCTGCCATGGAATCATGTAATGCAATCTTGCAGCCTCTTCCAGACCAATTGTTCAGGCCATCATCGAACTGGGGGTTTATTATGATGTTCTCATCTTCGGTGGAAACGCATCCCTTGTTTGTTGCCTTCTGAAATAAGGGGAAAAAACATCACAACTCTCAAGTTAGTGTGTGAAAAAAATAAAGATTTCATGAAACAATAGAAGAAATGAAAATGACACATATTCATTGCATTTGAAAAGGTGAGACCACTGCATGAGCATGAGCTTGATGTGGGTTAAATAGTAATATATTAGATTTTACCAAGGTGTAGAATTCAAAAATATGTATAAGCAACATCAAAAAACACAGCTGGAAAATTGAAGATCAACTAAGGCAAGGCGTTTAATGAATTGTTTGATTTTTTTTTGTGAATATCTACTTTTGATATATGAAAGAATAGTTACATATTAAGCAAAGCAACACAAGCATATGAAAAGTTGCTAAACAGTGGGTAGTAAAAGTGCATGCCTCAGAGTGGTTTCCTGCATTGATCTTCTGCAAGTTTTCCATAGATTCTTCAGACTTCCAATCCAATACAACAATCAACCAGGAGACCTTCAATTAGGAGGAAAAAAAATATATCAATTCAACATTAAAGAAATATGACTCACTATGAGAACACTCACGGTGAAAACAATTTTCTTACGGAGAAAGAAATAGGTGCTGTGCTTGCAGTGGGAGTGAAAGTTGGAGACTCTGCTTGGGAAGCCAAAGGACCAGAACCTCTTCGATATATATATACACACGGACACTGCCTCACAAGTTTGTGAGTGAAGGCTACGAAAAATTGTGGGGCCTACCAGCCTAATCAATCAAGGAGAACCCCATTGTGGGCATGCCGTTAACTTTTCGTCTCAAATGAATTTCATAACTGATTACTGTTAAAGCCTAAAGACCCTTTAAATAATCCCAATAAAAGGGAAGGACAAAAAGTTGCTTTTCTGTTTTGCTTCTATTTTTCCTTCCCTGTTGCTTTGTCTTGCAGATAAGCAATGCTTGAATTGGAACGGAAGCCTAAGGTTGAGGAAGAACCTTAATTTAACATTACCGCTGATTCATTCGCACGAGACTTGAAGGTTTTGCAGTAGTTAGGTAGACATAGCTGTTCAATCCATTTATATATTGGGGAACTTAATGCACATTTAGAGTAATGATACTTGCTACTTTAGCCAGAAAATATGCCATGGTGCAAGGTTTGCTAAATATTCCATTTGAGATAAACGAAAAATGATTTTTTTCAGCGTACGTTATCTGTTGGTATGGGCTGATCTAATGTATATTGTTACAATACATTCCTTGCAAGTTAGGTAAACCAAATATAGCCTCATGCTTGTGCACACATTGGGGGCCTCCTCCTTGAAACTTGCAGTTATTAACAACGATTCCATCATTCTCTAATGATGACTGGGTTGACTTAACTAAAAGAGTGTGGAAGACACTGAAAAAGAAAGAAATATCATTAAGGAGGGGAAACAATTAATAACCAATGTTTTTCCCTTCACGCTGCTAAGGATCTAACAAGTTATTAAGTTAATAATGCATGTGTGAATTTAACAAAGTAATGGACCAAACAAAAGTGAATGTTATCTAAATTCACTACATGTCTGGGATCCAACATAAAACCACCGGTTAGTTTAGTTTTGCTGTAACGTAGTTAAAGAGATCAGTGAAGGGGGAAGCAAAAAGGCAAAAACTCATTCGTTCTCGGCTTTTGGTTTAGAACAGGTCATTCATTGGAATGATCAAATGAACAATTAAGCCCAAGCCTTTAATATGGGCCGAGATTACAAATTTGGGCCTTTTACTCTTCAAACCCCTATTATTATGAAATTTACATACCACCTGTAAACTACCCTTCCCCCTCGAACCCCTATTTAAAAAAAAAATTCTTTCCCCTTTCACCACCCTCTCTTCACACCCCCAACTCTACTCTTCTTTCTCAACCCCATTGCTCCTCGCCTCCATTGGTCCATCATTGCTCCTTTCTTACTCCTCCATTTGTGTTCTTGCATCTGTATTTGTTTTTCTTCCACAACACTTTACTACTTTGTTTTTCGCATGTTACTGATTTAATGAAATTAATTTTGTTTTATATGTTATTAAGATTAAGATAACAAGTCCAAGTCGAAATTAATCGTTATAACTTTCCTTACATTTTTGGTCGGTTGCAATAGCTTTATACACAAGAATTTCACATGCATGAATGTGACATACTTTAATCTTTTTCACAATCTTGATAGATGTGCAGATTATGCATGGGATGTTCATGCCTCGACATACCTTTGCGATCAAATCAGCCAAGCTAACATGCATCATATAAAGCAAAGCAATTAAGACTTTAGAGGATTATGAGTCTTGAGACTCACATACAAGTGCCAATTTTTTTTTTTTAGAAACACAGATAATTATGTTAATGATTTTTCAGATTTGAATCTTGGAGCATTTCTTGACCATCGACTCTCGCCGATTGGTTGAAAGATATATTGTACGGTGTATACTCTAATTATGTCTGGTGGTATCAATCAATGAAAAATTAGTCATGAGTAGTTTAACTTGACAAAATTACATTATAAAAATTAGTTTCTGTACAATTTTACGTTATGAAGACTCGATTTTGTAAAGAGTTTTTTATTTTTTTATTGAAAAATTAATTTAAAAAATATATAAGTTGTGGAGAGTGAAAAAAGGAGTGCGAATAGCACGGGCCCAAGTAATTTAGAAATTACAGTGGGAGTGCATTTAGAACCTAAACCCTTTTTTCTATATTTTTTATTACCAAAATACTCTTTTATATATAAAAAGCAACATAAACCTTTTTTTACTCCATCATCATCTTCATTATACTTTTAACCTTTTTGTGTTTCACATGTCATTATTTTTTAAACTCTAATTATGTACCTGTCGTTTTCATTCTTTAGATTTTACTTTTACAACTCACTTAATAATTTGTTTTAAACCTTTACATATATTTTTTTCAGTCAAAAATAATAAAAACTTCCATAATTTCATTGACTACATTAAATATCACGTTTGCTGAATGACGGGGAAGGAGGAAGAGAGGGTGCTGAAAGAAGAAGTGGTTAACAAAAAATAAATCCAAAAATAAAGTTTATTCGATGATAAATATTTGAAAATTGAAGAAATTAGAAGGATGTTTAAAAAAAAATTATTAGTAAAGAGAAGTGTAAATATATTTTGTCCTAAATTAGATGCCATTGAAAAATGACATGTAATAGTATGATAGAAATGAATAGTGAAATGTAATAGTATTTGTCAAAAATAAATGTGAAAGACATATTAATTTGTCTAAATTTAGAAACTTAAATAAATATATAGATTAAATTGGAAATAATCCTGGATAGGAATATGTGTAGCATTAGGCGCAAATAGCTGTAACTGTCCAACGATTAACAAACCATTATTCCATTTAGAAAAGAAAATCTGGTATTTCAGTCCAAACAGGGCTTATTCCTTTATGAGTAGCCAGTACAGCTCACCTCACACACACAGACGTGGCTAAGAGTAAGATAGTAAGTATGAATAATTGAAATTTGTTTGGGAATTGAGAAAAAAACAAAGCTAAGAAAGGCATGTGGATTGTGGAGAGTAGATATTTTGATGTAACTTGTGATTGACTCAACCTTGGTTACAGAAACCGCATGCCCCCTTTCCCCGCACCATACGATCGTGACTCTGACTCACTATATATTTATAGTAGTAACCCAATTCCAAGTTCCAAGTTCCAAACCAAACAAACTCTATCCTAAATCCTAAACCATGATTCCGAAGCTTGAGATCCCTCACTGGGACGCAGACGGAGGACCACTCTCCCCATTCTCTTTCTCTTCCGACCATTTCAGAATGTTCGAATTCAAGGTCAGGAACTGTCCACGTGGCAGGTCCCACGACTGGACCGACTGTCCCTACGCCCACCCCGCCGAGAAGGCCCGCCGCCGGGACCCCCGCAAGTTCCTCTACTCCGCCACCGCATGCCCCGATTACCGGAAGGGGAACTGCAACCGGGGCGACACCTGTCAGTTCGCGCACGGCGTTTTCGAATGCTGGCTCCACCCCTCGCGCTACCGGACCCAGCTCTGCAACGACGGAACCGCTTGCCGTCGCAGGGTCTGCTTCTTCGCACACACCACCGACCAACTCCGTCTCCTCACGCACTCCGAATCCTCCTCTCCCACTTCGGTTATCAACTCTTCCTTTTCGGACTCCCCTCCTTCTTCTCCTTCTCCCTATGCCTCCATGCGGAATGTCCAACTTCAACACTCTTTCACACGGGCCGTCTTTCGCTCCCCACGTGCCGCCTTATGGACCGTCAATGACTGCCACGAAGAGCCTCCTATGGAGAGGGTGGAGTCGGGCAGGGACATTAGAGCCAGAATCTATGCTAAACTTAGTATGGAGAA